AACTGTGGTTTTGCATGTTCTGGGAAATGACTGCTTTTTTGTGGTTTGTTTTCAAACTTTCACTCTACACATTAGGGGCGAGGACCTCAGGTGCACCTTTGTGCATTATTTCAGGCAAAATGGTGCACCTGCAGAGAACCATCGACAGTTTGAAACTAGCTTAATAGGTTTTCAACACGAAAGAATAAAAAGTCCCCGGTGTTTTCGAATTCATAGCAGTTCAGTTCAAGTGATTTGAATTCAGTAAACATAAACAGCTCGGCCTAGGTCGGACACACCTGTCGGATTTGTTTTTTTTTGTCAACAAAATTTGTTAACGTCACCTGTACAAATAAGCATCCTTTTATTAACTTCTGGCGTGAAGTTTTAAGATTATAAATATTTGAATTAATTATAAAGAGAATAACATTTAAATTTCTTATTTCGGTATGACTAGCAGAGAAATGAAAACAGGGGGTAATCCTCTGTGAAGTCATTTTCTGAAAACTTTTTTTAAAGTTTCAGGCAATTCATTATCAAATAAAAATTACACTTTAGTATGAAGGTATGTTAAGATGCCATGTCTCTATACTGTTGAAAATTCGATGCGATAATCTGACCTAAATTTTCTTTTCAATATTGTGAAAGCTTCTTCAATACTGTTGAAAGATCCTGTCTGCCTATATCTGTATCAAATTTATCGGTGCACATCGTAAAAATCCTTTGCAAAACGGACGCCTTCTTAACAAAATAATTTGTAGTAGTATCATATGTAACTCGATTTTGAAAATCTAAAGTTATTTAATGGAGAAGAATACTTAAGTGCAAATATAGGAAACACATAGACTTTTCCTCGTCGGCGATAAAGAAATGCAATACGACAAAAATCAGCGGTAAAGTTCCGCGGGGCTGAACATAAAATGACTAAACGGAACGCATAACCTACTTGCAAAAATATATTGTAACTTAACCATTTATAATATAATTTTAATAATTTAATGTTCAGTTTCAAATAGTCAAGCTCATCTGTTCTCGCCAATAATTAAGAAAATGAATACAATAAAATCGACACGTAAAAGACATAAGTAATAACGGAATTGATGGAAATTATTGCTAATTACAATTAACAAAGAAGCTATCTTCCGATAGCAAGAGACCTTTTTAAAATTTGTAATTCTTTCTCTTTTTTTAAAAAAAAGGTCATTCCTGATAAATACAGGGTCCAGGAGAGGTTACACTGTTGAATTTTGTATCAAAAATAGTAATCACTCCCATTTCAAACTCACGGGAACAATTTTACAAGCATGCTAAGGCAACACTGGAACAAGTAGTCATATGGGTGTGCGATCACTTGTTTCAATGTATATTGCATTTGATACAGCTTTTCGGAATCTGTAGATGCTTATGATACGTACTAAAATGCGACCGAAAAATGCAGCCTTAATAGAATTGTATTACGTACATTTTCATTTTTATGGAACCAATGAGTGACCTCTGGTTTTGACTTAAGGTAGTACACCCCTAATGCTCTATCTTCACTTTGAAGAGTATTCAAATAGGCTAGAATCAATGTAAAGTGTAATGAAACTGAGGGGCGCGGGTTCAAACCCCAGAAGGGGCAACTTTTTTTCTTTCTTTTTTTTTCTTTTTAACATTTTTTATTAATCTCTCAGATCCATAATGGAAGAAAAAAGTGTTTCATTTTAATCATATGATTTTTGTAGGCATTTATTTACTAAATAATGCCAAATTTTATACCACATATTTTCAAAGTTTAATACAATAAAAAATACACGAAGTATTTTATATTTTGCAAGACCAACCAATATACATTTAAGAAAATTAAGGCAAACTTTGAAAACAGCCCCTCATTGTGGAAAATTTTAGGGATATTTTAAATAAGGCTTTTTACGCAGGAAAATGGCCAAATAAATGTTAAAAGTGGGTGGGGTAGGGTTACATTTTTAAACATATTAAAAACATTTCGTTTAAAAACAATCATTTTGTTTGTTTAATTTGTCACCTAAATGTCATTGTTTGTTTCTTCACAATGAGCAATAGGAAAACATTTTTCATAATGATGATATTATAGATTATTTAGAGTTTCCTCATTTCTGAAAAAAGCCCTTCTAATGGCAAAATTTTAGTTCAGAAAAATGTCCATAACTCATAAACCACATGGTAAATTTTGTTTAAATTTTGCATACAGTTGACATTTAAGGCATATAACTGTCCTATGTTGTCAATTTTACAGTTCCTTATAGTGCCCATTAGGGGTGTTCTACCTCAAGTTGTAAACAAGAAATATTTTTGGACGTTATTAGCATGCCTAGTACATAATTTAAATAGTTTAACCAATATGCAGCCTGCAATGATAATACAACTGCGTCGTATCATATTTTATTTTCAACTGTGTCGTATCATTTCGTGAAAATCATTATTTCTTTGAAAATAAACATCTCTTTTTAATGAAATTAAATTGAATACGTTTTTCGTTCCAAGATGGCGGCGTTTGTTTACATTTTGTAGGATACGACGCAGTTTTGATTCCCAGCCCTGATGTAGTACTGTTATATGTACAATTATATGAAGTGAAAATATACCAGTGCAGCTCAGTGCGAATGGAAACAGCACGACAAAGCATAGTATCAAAATAGACAGTCTATTATCACTGATCTAGCTCATCCGACTAGGAAGAATGCAATTGTATAGGTAATTCAGGCTGAAACGTGGAGGCTAAAACAGGTCTAAGAAAACTATAACATTGGTTTTATAAACGATACTTCTGTTCTTATTGCTCCGCGCTCACAGGCGCGGAGCTATTTGTGTTTACTATTTTTTTTTGTCCATGGGCCCGGATTTGATCAATAAATCCTTTCGAATTACAGCTAAAAGTAAATCCGCATTCAAGAACTCCTTTCGATTTCTATATTGGTTTCCCCGTCGGTGATTCGCAGCATGTCATATTAATGAATGAGAACCGGAAAGCAGTTCTGCTGTTATACTTTGTTACATTTTGAATTACATTTACACACAGCATATCAAGTATACTATTAGTGATTGAATTTGTAAATATAAAGAAGATTTCAGGCAAAAGATCTTAACAATTTTGCTTTTGATAATTATTTTTAATTTATATTTATGAAATTAAATGTTTGATAATAACATGTTGATATATTGTTTGTTTTGAAATAATTAAACTTTAGTATATAACGTTATATTTCATTAGCGTCATTGGTACAGCTTACCACTTTGTAAAAAAGAAAAAATTAAGGGTACGTTCGGGGGTCCATACTCGACAGCGAAAGCTGCATTTTGTGGCCTCACGAGCGGATGGACCCTCATTAAGCATGGGCTATAGATATCATAATAACAACAGAAATTTTGATCTGCAGTTTGAACATGAAGTGTAATTTTTTTTTATGAATGGTTTTAAAGCAATTCAACAAGAAAATATATATTGATCTCCCAATAAATTAATTAACAATAGTTTTTTTATATATATTACCAATGTCAAATAGCTTTTATATCTTTGTCTCGCACGAACATGATGTTAGTGAATTTCCTCATACCTACCTAAAATTCAGGTAACAGTCTTCTATTATATTGATAAATACTGTATCACCATGTAACGCGTGTATAACAAACAAAAAAATTCCTGAATATGGTCTTTTTGAAATTCATCCCATTTTTTTCATTCCAGAGTGTGTTCTACTTTCAGTATCGAAAGAAACCTTTTTTTTTAATTTGACATGAAAAAAAAAATGCATGTAATATTACTATATTATAATATTAGACCCTTTTGTTACTATTTGTATATTTGTTACAATTATAATAATAATAAGAAAACAGACTTTGATATGTTTATCATCTTATGTTACTGACTACAGTTGTGACACAATACAGTCGATTTTTTAAAACGTTTTTATACGGGCGTTAGGGCTCCGATTTACAATTCTCAATTTTTTAGCAGTTTTTTATTTTTCGATTAGCGATGGTTACCTTACTTTTAATATTTTGTTTAAATAAATTGTAATTTAACTATTTGATTTTAGTCTAACTGTAATAGGTCTTGAATATGTTTATCATTGATTCATTTTATGTGAATATTTGTAAATATGTATAAAAATGTATGTATACGAATGAGACAAAAATAAAGTATGAATGTATATGTCACATAACATTTACAAGTCTTGTAAATCTTGTTTGTATTCAATGGAATTACTTTCCTTACCAGGTAGGCATCAGTGAAAGCATTTTTTATATTAAATATCTTTCCCCTCTTTTTAATTATGGACAGTGCATAAGATAAGTATAATTATGCAAAAAATGGTTTACGAAACATTCGGAAAAAATCTACAATAGTACTTAATCTGAATCTAACATGACCTGTGCGTAGGAATAATTTGGTAAAGTATCTGTAATGAGCACATTTTTTTGCGCGGAGCTTCTCAATTGCTGCATTGCAGCAACATTTGTACTTGTTACCAACAGATTCACTAAGTCTTTGAGAGGTAAACTCCACGTGTATCTGCGACAGCTTGCCGTATCAACAAACAATCATAGCAATGATTTTTCAACATAATTTAGAATAATAGTTATAATCAGTAGTATAACTTTTACTTCGATCATACTGGCACATGTATAAATCTTTATATTTGATAATAATCTCTTTGATTTTATTTTATAATTAGCCTCGCTTTAAATCATTTTTGGCCTGATAAGAGACTCAGACCTTCAGTCTGGGACAGAATAAACAAAACTATGTATATTACATTTAATATTACGTATAATACAATCGATGAACTTTTTTCGATTGTTCGAGAGAGAGAGAGAGAGAGAGAGAGGGAGAGAGAGAGAGAGAGTTTTTGAACACAATCTTAGTTGCATGCCAAGTTGATGAGGACTGAAATTATTTGTTTCTCATAGGATTGCATATCAGAACATTGTACCTATACATCTACATGTATATTGACAGTTCTAAATCAAAATGCAGTTACCAAAAAAGAATTTTGATATATAGATCTATATTGATTTAATTTTCACCTGGCTTGATGGAAGTTATTTTAGTTATCAAATTGAAGAATGTCGGCGGGTGGTTGTTAACATTATATTGTTTCTGGAACTCTTCCTATATTTCTCAACAGATTTCAATCAAATGTAAGTATTGTCACGAAATAACGCTAGGCATATTGTGAGGATTCTATGATCAAATCTCACCAGTTTTAGGAACTTTCGTTCATCTGTACGACATGAATATGATTACGCCTATCTATGCTACTCCTACACGTCAACCAGACTTTTCTATTAATGGCTTATTGTCTTCATACCTGGACATAACTATCAAGAAGATAAACTAAGCTTGACCCTGACCTTTATTAGATCTTGATGTTTCATGTCGAATGATTTCAGACAGCTAAAATTCGTCATAACTTATTTATAAACTATTCTTCTTATTTATAAGAACAACAGTTATCATCAAACAAACATGATGGTTAACTCAAACTGATTTTGACCTTAAAACTTTAACCGTCAAGCATTGAACATCAAGGTCAAGTTATTGCAAACTTGTACAGAATAAGAAAATTTATGCCGAGGCGTTGACTAAAATATTTCATTCAAAATATGTTTTATGCTGTCTATTATCAATTGTGGGCTTCGTTCGATACGATGTCGCTCTAACTTGTTTAGGACATATTGAATATATAATTTGTTACACATACATGCATGCTTAACTATACAATGTCCTAGAAAATCTACAATCTTGGAAATACAAATAAATCTAAAACGTAAGAGGTGATAACACTCAGTATGTATAACAGTGACATGGCCGATCGCTACATGTTGAAATTTGAAAAAAAATTGCAATTTGCAAAATTCTGTTGAGATGACATTGATGCACCTACCTATAATATAATATCAAGATTTATGTTTACATTAATGTAATCCTTGTAGTAAATAAAGACGAAATCGTAAGTAAACATTTTTTTTTTAAAATAAAATGTATATATATAACATGCGTAAAATATGGCTTTATTTAATAACACAAAATCACAATTAAAACATTCATATAAATGCTAATGACATATTTATGATGAAAGCCCTTTATATATGTATAAAACAATTGATTATAATGGATACTTTGAGAATATTGAAGAATAAATAATAATATTCCTGAATGATTGGGAAAAGCGAACATATATCCTGTTTTGTTATGAATGGATCAACAGAAACACAAATGGATTAATCAAAATTGCATGATCACGCATTAGATGAAGATTTCTTTTTGTTTCCACTTGGAAGATTCGTAAATTGTAAATCCCTTGGTGAACTTTGTCTTGAAGTATCACTATCACTGTCCTTATTGTCAAATAATTTTGCCATGTTTAGTACACCTTTAACTTTGTCAACTTTCTGGTAATCTTTGGCATCGACGTTATCACTTTTCACCATTTTACTAAAGTCTTTTTCTTCACCCTCAACTGGTTTGCTCTTGTCTTTTTTCTTCTGCTGCGCCCGTTCTTTAAGTTCTCTTTTAAATAGGCTTGATGCAGAATGTTGAGTTTTTGATTGATCATTTTTACTTTCTTGGGGTTCTTTTGTTTCAATCGGTGAAGAAATTGCACGTGTTCGACTTGTGACCGGCTCAAGGTATTCGTTGGATTCTACCGGAACACTCATGTCACTTCTATGTTTCCGAACACTCTCAGCTCTAAGATTTTTATCCACATCTTCATATATTGACCCAGACGTGTATCCATCCGTTCTCTTCGCTAGCTCATCATCACTAACATCGGCATAGTCATAAACCTCGGGTTCCTTTTCTAAAATCTTGTAAGAATGTTCAGATGAGACATCTGAGACGTCCGAACCTCGCGGACTTGCACTACGAGGTCGAACATGCGTTCCAGCAGCGTAATCATAGCTTGGTGAATCATCAGGGATTGTATTACTTGGTAAAAGACAATTAGTGGATTTTGACCGAATTTCGTTCTGTGGCGTTATTACTTGGTGCGTTTGTTTTGGACTTGCCTTTGGTGTTGTTGTTGTTCCAATCTTTGCAACTGTTCTAGGTGAAGGGGGAGGACGTGTGGGCGGTGCTGGTCTTGCGTCATTGCTTCCTTCTTTTGGACATTTAACGAGGTCTGGGTGATTTTCGTCAACCGCACCAAACTGAAACTCTATGTACGCATCTCCAACATGAAAAGCATTTAACTCTTCTGTAGGAACATCTGTTCGTTTTTCTATTTTTGGAGACGCTTTTACGTTTTTATTTGGTTTTTCTTTTTCTTGATTTAGACCTACTTGTTTTCTAACAGAATCATCGGTAGTATGTGAATACGTGTGGTTTGGTTCGTCAATGGGTGGTGTTATTTCCACATGAACACTGGAATTAGCAGAAACTGGTCGTAGATGATCATATGACTCAGAATTTTCTCTTTCTCGTTTCGAAACCTGCGGGAAATCATTTTCAGTCTGTTTTCGGAAAAAGGAAATTAATCTGTCCGTATGTGTTTTAATTTTGCCAAACGGCGATTTTGTTGATTTCGGTTGTTTCCCTTGGGCTTGATCCTGTTTTCCAACATTCTGGTACGTGTGTCCATTCGTTTCATGAGAAGCCTTTTTATTTTTTGGTTCATATACTTGATCGTAATTTGGTTCCATGCATGCTACATCAGGCACAAACCCAATCTCTGCGTACTCACTGTTTTCAACTGAATTATCGATATCTGCACTATCTGTGTATTTATTCGGCGTTGCGTGTTTCTTTTTCTTCTTGCATAGATAACCACGTCTGTAATCAAATATTATATTGTAAAACATTCACAGTCTTGTATAGACATAAATTTATCTTTAAAATTGATAATCATTCTTCGTAAAATACATTATGTTCCATATACATATTCTTTACATTTCCAAAACGCAGCTAAAAGATTTCATGGTCATGAATGTTATCTGTAAGAGTAATATCCTTTACCTTGCGAAATAGAATTTAGCTAACAATGTTGAGAATCAAAATAACGGATATTCTTATATTTCATATTAAAAGTTGATTAAGTTAAAAAAATATTATTTCTCACGCTTATGCACTAGCTCTCAAAATGTTCGCTGACGCTATATTTGGAAAGACATGTTTGTTGAGAGAAATAAATCACTTACCTTCTCCATACCAGGAACGCAACCACTGCTCCAATTACTGCCAGAAGGAGTATTGGTACAAGTATACCAGCCACAATAGCACCTGTGTTTGAACCTTCATCACCGGACGCTGACACTGGAAATAATATACATGTAATTCAATTATGAGAATTATGTTAAGAGCTACTATAAAAATAAAAAATGACTAGGCATGTATCATGAGACCGTAGCAGTATGGATTTACGTAACAGAATAAAATTTAAATTAAACCTTAAAGACTCATTATGCCTCAGACATGTTTGTTTTTAATTTTTATTTTAAAAAAAAACTTTTTAATTTGGTGTACTTTTATAGCATTCATACTTAAACCATCTTGTTCATCGGTTACTGTTTGGCAATACTTACAGTTATAGTGAGTTATTATTTTTGTATGGAACTCAAAATACTATCTTATTTACATTTTGTTATTTTTATGACAAATTATTTCACATCTATCGCTACTTTCTTGAGGTAACAAGCATCTAACATTCTCTTAAACCTTTACTTAAACATTATAAAATTCATATTTTCCCTTTCTTAAGAAATAAAAGTTTATTTATTTCTCTTTAAAATTGAATATACATTTTTCCACTTCATTATTATAAACAAGAGCTGTCGGTAGGACAGCAACGCTCGACTATTCTTAGTGCTTGATAGTAAAAAAAAATGCTTGATACAATTACCTCCTCCTGTTTACAGGTTGGGGTAATGATGGTGAACAAGTGTGCAAAGTTTCAAAGCCATATGTCAATGGACTTTGAAAATATTTGAACTATTACAAAAACTTTAACGTAAATTCTAAGTCGAAAAAGGGGCATAATTCTGTCAAAATGCTTGATACAGTTACCTCCTCCTGTCTACAGGTTGGGGTCATGATGGTGAACAAGTGTGCAAAGTTTCAAAGCCATATGTCAATGGACTTTGAAAATATTTGAACTATTACAAAAACTTTAACGTAAATTCTAAGTCGAAAAAGGGGCATAATTCTGTCAAAATTCTTTATACAGTTACCTCCTCCTGTCTACAGGTAGGGATCATGATGGTGAACAAATGTGCCAAGTTTCAAAGCCATATGTCAATGGACTTTGAAAATATTTGAACTATTTCAAAAACTATAACGTAAATTCTAAGTCGAAAAAGGGGCATAATTCTGTCAAAATTCTTTATACAGTTACCTCCTCCTGTCTACAGGTTGGGGTCATAATGGTGAACAAGTGTGCAAAGTTTCAAAGCCATATGTCAATGGACTTTGAAAATATTTGAACTATTACAAAAACTTTAACGTAAATTCTAAGTTGAAAAAGGGGCATAATTCTGTCAAAATGCTTGATACAGTTACCTCCTCCTGTCTACAGGTTGGGGTCATGATGGTGAACAAGTGTGCCAAGTTTCAAAGCCATATGTCAATGGACTTTGAAAATATTTGAACTATTACAAAAACTTTAACGTAAATTCTAAGTCGAAAAAGGGGCATAATTCTGTCAAAATGCTTGATACAGTTACCTCCTCCTGTCTACAGGTTGGGGTCATGATGGTGAACAAGTGTGCAAAGTTTCAAAGCCATATGTCAATGGACTTTGAAAATATTTGAACTATTACAAAAACTTTAACGTAAATTCTAAGTCGAAAAAGGGGCATAATTCTGTCAAAATGCTTGATACAGTTACCTCCTCCTGTCTACAGGTAGGGATCATGATGGTGAACAAATGTGCCAAGTTTCAAAGCCATATGTCAATGGACTTTGAAAATATTTGAACTATTACAAAAACTTTAACATAAGTGGTTACGCCGACGCGGACACCAACGCCGACGCCGACGCCGACGCTCGGGTGACAACAATAGCTCTACTTATTCTTATCGAATAGTCGAGCTAAAAAGCATAGATAGATGGGGTCATTATAAGTGATTTCATTTTTTAAATACATGGCATTTCATAGTAAACTAGAACTCCGCGAGTCGGATGTGTCGCCTTGTGAACAATATAGTTTAGGAGAAATGGCCAGGACAAAAATGAAAAATGAAAACTAACAATGGGCAATAACTCAAAAAATAATAAGTGCATGACTTCAAGGCTTAAGACCAGTGTACAGATATGTTCACATATATCTTTGAATGTTATTAGGTTTCATTACTGAACTTTATTAATGAGTGACACTAAAGAAAGCACCACATTAAACACCGTATTCATGTATATACCGGACAAGGCGATTGAATGATTTAATGCTAAATCTCGTCTTTTCAACCACCGAAATGCGCTTTAAAACGTCTTATACATCTTTTCATACCAAGTTGTATACGATAATGAATATAAATTGTAAGAATCGGCGAACAAAAACGATAATATATTTTCTACTTTGTGATCATGATTTTTGCAAGCGTATAGAGGTACTGCTCCAAAACTGTAGTGATTTTAATCTATTTTTTATACAAAAAGACAGGTCTGATATATTTTACACTCACTTTTCGTGGTATTTGAATGATCTCCTGGTGTACTTGATGGTAGTGGTGGTAGTAGAGTAGTTGGTATTGTCGTCTGATGATTGGCATGCTTGAAACATTGTACATTCACATTACTCTGGTCGTCCGCTAGACACAACAAAAAAAGAACGCCTCAGAAAATTAATATAGAGAGATTATCGTTTCTATTTCAAACCATATGTTCTTGTTGATTTGCTTTTTTAATGTTACAATGGGTTTGGATAACTGTTATTTAAATATTCCAAACGAATACAGTGTTAAGAAAATATTTTCAAATAAGCAGTATTATTTAAGTAAACAATATCGAACTACCAATTATAAAATGTTAACTTAAATATAATTGATATTGGTGTTGAATTGTTAGTTAAGCAAGGCCGTAATTTTAATGAGGAAAACTAAATTTAATTGCAATTCAAATGTGCAAAAATATTATAGATTTAGAGCATAATGCTCTCTTGCAAAAGTTTATATGACCTACCAGTTATATGAAGCCAGACAAACTGCGGTGCGTCGTCATTTCCGTTTCTAAACAAATTCAAAAGTTTCATTTCTATAACCGTGCCAGTGGTCAGATGCCCATACTTAAAGTTGTCCTCTTCGGGTTTACTATTAACGCACTGGGTATCAAAATTATCATCCGGTACGGAAGTTAATGTGGCAGACGAACAACTGCTCCCCTGAATACTTGTGAGAGATTTAAACATTCGGATATCTACGTAATCTATCTGGGCCTCGCCATTCTGTGTCGCCGTGATGAAGCATGAGCAGTTTGCAGGCGTGCTTGACGATTCTTCCGACTTGTTGAATACAACGCTCAGTTGTTTACCATTTACGTTACTTAAGTTACCAACTCGACAAAATTTTACCTCATTTTTAACTGAAAATTAGAAAAAAGAAATCCAATGGTAAAATGAAAAATGCAATCAAAAGACATTCTTACTGTACACAGTGGAATCAAATGAAAAATTTCTTTTCCACTTTCTGTTTATTAAGACAAACTGAAAGTATTTTGAAATTATGATCGGGCAATTTATTGAAGTTTTTTTCTTATAAATGTTTCATAGCTTTTAATGCACCCGTAAAACAAATGTGTATAAAACTACAAACCTGGCAGACATTCATAAGTCACGTGCACATACGTAGAGATTTTGCTGTCGCACGAGCTTAGAATTCTGTTCGGTACAGGCAATGGACCACATGTTTGTTTGCCCGAGCAGTCTTTGTAGAGATTGTAAGCATGGAGGTCACTATAGTACTCCATACAATCTTCCGTGTTATAGGTGCAGCATCCATCTTTGTTAGGGCTGAAAGTAAAGAGTACACATGTACATTTTTTAACTTATCTATTTAATGCTTTTATGTTTTTTTTCTAATTCAGAGAGGTATGCATATTTCTTAAGTGGGCATACGTGTAACTGTTTGAATACATGTATATCTGATTCTCAATCAATACAACGTAAGTTAGAGACCTTCTAGGATCGAGACAATGTTTCCTCATATGCAGTTGAAGTGATTTAGTATTTTGTATGGAAGTCAAAATACTACTTTGTTTACATTTTGATACTTGTATGACAAATCATTTCACATTCAGCACTACTTTTTTCAGGTGACAAGCATGTAATGTGCTCTAAATCCGTTTTTTTTTATTTAAACGTGATTGAACTCATGTTAAAAAAATCGTTTCTGAAGCATAATGTGTCAAATATAGTTTAACACAATTAGAACAAACATGAAAGCTCAATTGTCAGACCAAAGGAACTTTATTAAAATCTATATTAACAAAACATCCAAAAATACCTATATATAGTATGAAACAATATAACATATAAGGAAATATTTGGATATTTTGTTAATATCAATTATTTGATAGATTTTCAAATTCCTGTGTTATCAAACAAGACTTGAAGTTCAATCATTCACATTTGTTTCCTCTCTGTTCACAGACCAGAAAGTGACGAATGAAGACCAAAAGATGGTTCGGGTATTTGACTAATGAATTCTTTTTTGAAATAATATAACAAGGCACCAAAAGATGATTTTGAGAAATACAAATGAAAGCATTTCAGGGGTATAACGGATTTTTGAGACTTGATTTTTCTGTTGAAATTTGGAAAAGATGAAAATTTATAAGCCTAAAAAAATAACAATCTTACTCGAGACAGCGGTTTTTCCTGTTGTTGCATTTGTCTTCTTTAACGCCATATTTCATTGTTAAAATACGGATTCTGGATCCCTGCTCACAGTCTAGTGTAATGAAATGGCACGCAGGTTCGGTGTTACCATGGCACGCGCTCACTGACTTCACTTCCGCCTGCGCAAAAGTGCCGCAGAAAACACATATTCCTGAAATGAAATTTAGCTCGTACATGTAAAATTAATATAACACTGTTGTTATCACATACGTTTGATTTAATGTGATATTTTATTTTAAGCAGGCAAAGTACATAAATTGTAATACTGAAATTCATTATATTGCACATTTACTGAGCCAAATTTGATCAAACAGAAATGCGTCAATAAGTTTACAAGTTATAAAGTATAGTATCATTTGAATTCATTGCACATTTCCCTTTGGATAATAATAACATAGAGCAGTTGAATGGTAAAACAGCTATAATTAAAAAATGTTCTACTAGTCAATAACAGCTAATTGTCTGATGTTATGACAGCCATATTGTCTACTTCCGGTTGTTATGTATAGTTATGCAACATGATATCATTGGAATTCAAGGTGCTACTTAAGACATTTAAAATACTATTGGGGCTTGTTTTTGTCTATCGTTATACTTAACTACAATTTGGATACTGGTGATAAAGAATGGTTTCATGGTAAAGTTTGTAAACAATTTATTGGCTGTCATCGATTATCAAATATTGACAAAGGGATTAGGCGGGGGTCATATAATACTGTGTACATGTTATACTTTTCCGTGTCAACTCTTGGTAGTGTGTAGGCGGGGGCACAAAGGTCTAAAACGCTTTACGTCAGGTAAAATAACTTTAATGACGTTATTAAGCGCGTCTGTACGTGTAGGCGGGGACTTTAATCTCTAAAACGCATTACGTCAGATAAAACAACTTTGCTGACGTTATTAAGCGCATCTGTACTTAATACTTGGGATATATTAAGTTAAAAAATAATTGAGTCGAATTTTTAAATAGCTTAAACAGACGTTCCTATATTCAAAACATGACATCACTGCAAGAGCTTTAAATTAAAATTGAATTTTAAAAATCCCCTGACCATCCTTAATTGTTTTAGATGAGGTCATGTGTTTTCGAAAGAATTATTCATCACTTACATGTATTCGTCAAAACCAGAAAAAGTGCTATATTTAGTGTTTTTTTTAAATAAGATATCGTTTCAAAAAAAAAAGAAGAGAACTTAGATTTCAAGTTAGAAATTTCATTAATCATAATTAACCTTCCGGGTGTTATCTTTTAAAAATATATCACGCAATTCAGTGTTAAAATCAAGGACAATATATTAACATGTTTTAATAAATTTTAAGGGGGTATGAGGGGAGATGGGTGTCAAATGTAGAGATCGAAGGGACTAACGATATTTATATAAGACTTCAAAATTTCACCATCTTTTTATTCATGTCTAAATGTTGAATTCTGCTTAAGCCGGTGCTAGTGGGTGTGGACGGTAACTTGCACTATCCAGTACCGTCTGTGAACAGGCTAAATCTAACCTGCATCATTTTCAATTTTGTTTTTTGTTTTGTTTTTTTTTTGTTCTTTAGGGTTCCGTTTTCTCTGTTACTCTACTAGAACCGGAAGTGATTTGCGTTTGTCACCAGCATATAGAAGCTGTCCAGACTGCACGGACTTCAATGCTGTCTTGGCTCTATGCTGGTGACAAATGATTGACATACTTTAGATTTTCATCTGATATTCTCAAAAATGATAATGGATAGTTCCAAAACATGGGAGATGGACAAAGTCTATTGAAGAAATTCAGCAAGATAAAGGATAAAAACGAAACTATGTGTCGAAAAAATGTTAGGTGAATTTTAATTATGAAATGTAAATGTATGTTGCCACTCCTCATAAAACGGTTTATTTCATTTCTAACATTAACTTGGCATTGATACTTGATACTCTAATGTCTACTCAAATAAATATTCAGTCAATATCATTACTATTATTATTGTTATACATTGTCAAACTTTATATCTAGATAAGAACAGTCATGTATGCTATGTTTAGTTGATTTCGAAAACGAATCGTGACTTATGTATAAATAATGAATAAAAACATGGGTATCATGTAACACTGTAATACGGTGTCATCTGTAATATAAGAATATTGTGATAAAACAGTGGTATACCACAAACATTCAATATATCACGTTTATAAGTAAAGTATACTTTCTGGCTTAAATAGCATCTGCTGTTGTTTTTGTACAACCACGAACTTATAGAATATTACTTTCCCCTCTCTTTCTATATGTCTGTCTATATGTCTGTATGTCTGCCTGTCTTTTTTACGTCTCTCTGATATTGTCATTTCATTAAGTTAAAATCTTCAAACCCTAATACTTGACAGGATATGCCTGCATTTAGGCTCAATTTTGACGTACTGAAATATGACCTTGACCATCATGACCTTTACCAAAAATGCCATCTCTTTAAAATTGCCATAGCGAAAGGAAAGGATAAAAGGAAAGCGTACTGAAATATGATATTGACCTATCATGTCCTTTAACAAAGAGGTCTTTTTTGTAGAAGGCTGGGCAAATGTGGCAATATGATATACATAAAGTCAATTCTAATTTGTTTTCATTCGTTGAATTAATGTTACTAAAAATATAGAAGTACACACCAATGTTATTACTGTAAAGTTACAACATTTCTAATTAGGTGTAATATAAGATGCTATCATAGCAACAAGCTTTTACAACAAATGTCAACTTAATGCATATTTTAAATTGAGTTTTCATTCTCGATTTGCTAATGTTGGTTTCTCTTGAATAACTATTTATTCATTTATTCATCAGTTACAACAGTCTCACTTTTCACAGGCGTCGCGAGATTTTTCGCTACAATGAGCAGAGACCGCTAAAATATTTTTAGTATCACTTTCGATCATTGCAATCAATTGTGGTCATGTACAATATTGAAATCGCCCCTGTTTTCTTTATGCCTTTAGGTCATTGAAGGTTTAAATGTGCTATCGTATTAAAGCTGTAAATCATTTAAACAGTATCGATATCTGACCTGTGTAAATAAAGTTGAAGTGCATTGTGGCGACATCTAAAATGCGTATGGTATGTAGCGATAGAATAACAGAATATAGCTGCGATCGAACCCACCTTTTGTAGTTAGAACTTAAGATTTATTGAGGTTTTTATCAGAATTAGTAAAGCAGAAGGTTAGCCTTTAGCATGCATTATTCCTTATATTTTATCAAACATCACTTGAGTGCATCTGTTATGACCACAAAATTTTATTCTTATTTCGGTTATACATATACATTTTAGAATGTAATTACCATAATCGTAAAAACTATCATAATTATGTAGAGGAACTCTATTTTACATATTTAAAATAACAAAAATAAAACAAAAACAAAAAAACATTTAAATACTGTATCCAAATTTTTTTACGAATAGATAAGTTCTTATGTCTATAATATATAATGTTATCATAGCTTCAACAATTAAGAAGTTGCCTTAAGATAGAGGAAACGCAGTTACTGACCGAATATTGAAAATTACTTTTCTGTTCGATATATATTCTTTATGGTTTACACTGAAGTGAATCGGTGTAATCTACTTCCCTTGAAATTGTAGTTTTATTGCACATTTATTGCACATTTATTGACAATTTAAAGTTTCGGGTGACTGGTTTTATAAAGTTTTATTTAAACAACACAATAGGTAGGAGATGTTAGCATCATCCCAGTTCGGACGGCTGACAAAATAAAAGAAGTTGACACAAAAATGGGGGTAGCCCTTTTTAATGTTGTTTATTTAGTGTCCGAAAATGGCGCATATTCTTCAACCAAAAAAAAAGATAATCAACAACAAAAACAAAGACAACAAAAAACAAAAGAAAAAACCACAACCACATAACAAAGAATCAAAAACAAAACAAAAATGGTTGTAAATTTGTCCATATTAACTTGAATGTTAACCTAGGACCACTATCTCAAATATTACTATACATTCGGTCAAAAACTTCCTCATTTGAAAAGAAAAAGTAAATGAAATAAAACAAAACAAGCATAAAAATAAACATGTCAAAAATAAAATTAATTGATATCATATACATGTACGGTTCCATTTTTCCAAAGCAAACAGGGATAAAACTTCCCATTATTTTTTGAGAGAAAATAAAAACGTCCTGATATTAAAATAAGCTCAAATAAATTGTGTTTATGGTTTAAATTGAACGAAAAGATATAGTCTCCTGATGTATCACTTGATTAGCTATTTTGATACAATAACGTTATATTTAGAGTTCACTGATTCTAGAAACATAGCAGTTCCAAAGGACCCTGTGGTGCCATTTCGCCACAGCACAAGTAGAAACATCTATTGATAATACTCATATCGGTTCGACGGATGTTAACACCAAATACTGTACATGAAAAATTTGTGAAGCAAAACATAGAAACATTAATGCAGACGACAAATACATATGCAATCTCCAATCATCGGTATGAAGGAAGTAAAGACTTTTTGTAACGTGCATCTGTTGCATTAGTTTGCTACGTGATATTATCATACTGAGTATATGTTGTTTCATTTAACAAAAAAGAAGAGATTGGCTTGATGTAACTGTCATTTCCGGTTACTGTGACTTTGTTTCATAATTATATGAGCCGCGTCACGACAAAACTAACATAATGGGTTTGCGACCAGCATGGATCCAGACCAGCTTACAGACCATATAACAAGTAAAGAAACTGATAGCGAACAGCATGGATCCTGATCAGACTGCGCGGATGCGCAGGCTGGTCTGGATCCATGCAGGTCGCAAACCCATTATGTTAGTTTTGTCGTGACGCGGCTCATATAAGAATAGAGATTAACAAGTTAGAGCAACGTTTAGGGAACAAAGGTCCAAAAATATCCAAAAGCAACGGCACCCGAAGGGACAAGAAACGGACAGGGATTGAAAAATGGGGCAGAGGAGGGGCTAATAATTAGCCAAGTTTAAGGGAGCTTAAGTTTAATTAAAGTGAAGAAGTTGATATGGGAATGGGATGTTATACTAAAATGGTAACCATATTGTAATGACATTAACCGTAATAATGCCTTTTATAATGATCGATCCGTGATACCCTTTTAGACCTCAAACGTTTTTAAATTGACTTTTTGTCTTTTGTATGATTCATAATACATGTTAATATACATGTTCATTGCAATAAATCAATGGTAAAAATATGTTTCTGTATTTATATGGCATACATTTGCAACAAGAATGAATGGGTGATATCATATTTCATTGAACGTGTTTAAACATTTTACAAAAAAGATGTTTTCTTTTGTTCCCGACCTATACAGAAAAAAAAATGTTTGAGTCATTTAGACGAAACTATCGGATACATAGATATTGATTCAAAAATTAATGTTTTACCCCGGACTTTAATTCTTTTCCAAATCTTGTTTTTTCTGTTTAACACATCGTTCGCGTGATATTGAAAAGAAAACATGATCATGTCGTACCTGGGGACTGACATTTGTTATTTATAAGATTTCGAAATATTAACCCTCAGCCTGCTGGGAGGGACCACAACATTATACGTTTTCAAAACAACTTGGTACAACACCAGTCGCTTGTACCAGACCACGACGAGTGCCTCAGGAACAACGCTGTTTGACTTTCACCCCCTTTCATTCATTCGTTTGTTCGTTCGTTCGATCTTTGGTTCGTTCGTTTATTTATTTATTTATTTATTTATTTATTTATTTATTTATTTGTTCGTTCGTTCGTTCGTTCGTTCGATCGATCGATCGATCGATCTTTGGTTCGTTCGTTCGTTTGTTCATTCACTCACTCACTCATTCATACATTCGTTCGTTCGTTCGATCTTCGTTCGTTGAATCGTTCGTTCTTTCTTTCGTACATTCATTCATTCATCCATTCATTTATTTGTTCGTTCATGCATTTATCCATTCTTTCTATCTTTGGTTCGTTCGTTTATTCGTTCGTTCCTTTATTTATTCATTCATTTAGATGTATAGATCGTCAAAATATATTAAACAGATTTATGTTCTGGGGCAGTGGGAAATATTACCAATACACAAAATAGCACAATATTATCTCAGCGCATAGTACATTTAGTTGGACTAATGTATAGAAATGCAAATTCTTTCTTCCTTTAATGAAAAATCGTAAAAAGGAGAAATATTTAATTATTGCAAAAGCATCATTCACAAAGAATAGATATAAGCAAATACAAAATGTACAAAAAAAATACATATTTCAGAGTAATCCAATTAAAAAAAAATACAGATGAAAAAAAAATCTCTAATATACTTACCTAAATTAACATAAAGGAAATATCCAATTTTCTTACACGTTAACATTATTGCGTATATCAAAGTTCGTCGATTGTATCCATACCATAAACAGTGAATGATTAAACTTCAAGTAAATTTTCACTGTGGTATTTATTGACGATTTTATTATAACAGGGTACGACAGTATTTTATCACACACCCTAGTGATCGACCCAGTTAAATTTTGCACCCTTTATCTAGTTTAAAGACAACACACATAAACTCTAAAAAACAAAATCTGTGCTATTTAACAGTATCTATCCTTTACAATATTTATGTATAGTTGTTTTCAGAAGTATTAAATTATAAAAACAGCATTATTTATCCGAATATTACACCGGACGTTTGAATCAATATCATTATATATCACCCACTAATCCGTGTAAACCTAAAGTACACAGCACTTGTACAAACAATAGTAACTTAATACAGTAATTTATAAATAAACTCGAAGTATGTATTTTTTTGGGGGGATTCAATGATGCGGTAGTAATGTTATATGAGCCGCGTCTTGACAAAACCAACATAGTGCGTTTGCGACCAGCATGGATCCAGACCAGCCTGCGCATCCGCGCAGTCTGATCAGGATCCATGTTGTTCGCTATCAGTTTCTTTACTGTTTATAGGGTTTGTAAGCGAACAGCATGGATCCTGATCAGACTGCGCGGATGCGCAGACTGGTCTGGATCCATGCTGGTCGCAAACCCAATATGTTGGTTTTGTTATGACGTGGCTCAATTATTATAAACATGTTAAAGATCTTTGAGTATCATATAACACATCAGTTGTTGAACTATACCGTCTAAAGTTAATGTGTGCGAAAAGATCGAAGGTTGGATAAAGAGAATTAAGTATTGTAAGTGGTATGTGTAAAAAAAATCATCAAAGTCAAAACAAGCATTATGTTATTCTATGGTGTCGTGTTTGGAACAATTAAAAATGTCGCCTGTTGACAAGCAAGATCCTACTTCATCTATTCTCCTCCTTCTCGTTTTGATAAATAAAGTAGCGCGGAAACTACCAACATTTAAGTTTACTTTGTCGCAATCCTGGCGAGAATCGTACTATAAAAGTAGAAGTATGTTTTATGCTCTCGCGAGGATTAACCTTAGATCTCGCATGTCTTTCTCGAAGGACTATTCTAGTACTTAATGCGAAAAGCAACGTTAATCCTCGCGAGCGTAAACGGGCGATATTTTAACTGACCCAAACAGGGCACCATATTATTCGGATTGTTAGACCTTTGTTACCGCCCATTAGCGAGATTATACCAATTTACTTTGAAGTATTTGTCGGTTTTTCGAACAGCTGTCTTGTACTAGCAGAAAAGGCTCTATCGACATAAATTACCTTTTATAAGGTACATGTATTCATCAAAACAAAATATTGCGAATTATAATGCATGCAATCGGCTACTTAAAGTAGTAATATGTTTGCGTGGCTTAGTCTACTCACAGACACTTGGGGTTTGGAGCTCAAAACGCCTTTAAAATCCAAATAAAATGCTTATTTGTGAATCCCAGCACATGTACTGATCATATATATCAAAAATACTTAATATAAGCCGTTTTGAAAAAATTTCATATTTCAACATCTATAATAATAATATTATATAGCTAATATGCATTTTATTTGGATTTTAAAGGCGTTTTGAGCTCCAAACCCCAAGTGTCTGTGAGTCTACTATATAGACAGAAAATAACATGTCGGGGTTACCTTCGTAAAACTCGATTTTTACGACAGAAGTGTGAGGGTTTCTGTACGTCGCGACATTTTATACAATTTCGAGATTTAAAAGGTGCCCGCGACATTTTATAAACTGACGGTAAAATTTCTCGCGGCTTTAAAATGGGCACTATCGGCTACCATACTAAGCAGTTCTTATTTTGGCTATGTAGCTTCATTTGTTAATTTACTAAACTTGTTGAATGAAATAATATTAAGCTTGATACGCATGATAAAAGTTTATTCAACTTTTTCAATAAAATCAGTATGGAAACTACATTTCATTCTATAATATTGTACTGTTCAAACGAACTTATTTAATGTTAAGAACGTTATATAAAGAAACGTAACTCTAATATATATTTAGAATAGTTTTGTTCTAATTATCTCCCTCTTCTGGGCAAATTTCTATACTAAAGAATCACATTATGTAAATTTAAATGTTCTATACGGGGTATATCAGTTTCAGAGAAGTTCTTAAGTGTTCCGTTGGTTTCTTTTCACAAAATGTATTACATGCATCATAAATCTCACCAGATCCGCCCATTTTCCCCGAAATTCTTCATGACTTGTGTAAAATAAATCCATTTAATTAAATCATCTTTATGTACAGATGTTATATTAACATGTTGTAAGTTGTGGTTGTTGTCAAAATGAGTTATTAAGATTTTAATTTGTGAAACGAATTTGTCATCACATTACATCACATTAACTGAGGTGCGTTGTTGGTGTAAGGGGGGTCTTTTTATAGAATAAAAGATAATGAAATCAAGACACTTGTAGTATGCCATTAGTTTTTAACCTCAAATCTCATAATTTATCTTACTTTTTTGCAATTACCATTCGCTTGCCCATTTTGGAAAATAATTGTCTTCTAACAAATAAAATATTTTATTTGTGCATTCATTTAACTAATTTTGGCGCCTAAATGGGAATTCCGGCACTTAAATAATTATATAAGTAAAAGCAAAAGTGCGGAAGAATATAAAGGTAACTCAGGGAATTATACACAGAAGAAAGAAAATCATCAACCATATTATTACATGGTTCCATTTATTTCCTCAAACAATGGCGATCAATTTTTGAAGGTGTAAATGTACGATTATGTGCATGTTCTATAAATCTATATGGTGGTGATGTTGGTAGTTTTCACTCCGGATCACGACAGTTAGCCACATTGAATTTACCAGAGCACAGTTCAGCCACCGCAACGTTCCTTTGCAGGCTGTCAAGTAGTTTACCAGTACTAATGCCTTCACTTTCGCAAGGAACTGAAACTTCTGTACATGTCAGAGCAGAGGTACGTTGCGAATGACCGAAGAAAGGATTTCATGATCAATCACAACGAAAGTGACATGCGCCGTCCGGGAATCGAACACGGGTCGTCCGATTCATGGTAAAATTTTATCAATAGTAAAATGATATTGTTTCCGTAATCGAATGGTCGATTCTCAAAAGAGTTGTAAAATAGAATGTCTCTGTTACTTAATACACTCAAATATTCAACATACATAGTACATAAAATACGTGCTCCTATTTTAAGTAAGGATTTAACCGTTTGCAATGATTTTATACTTGCAACATTTGATTTTATGACATTAAACTACAGTAAATACTCCTTAAACCGGAATTGTTCTGGACCATGATAAATTGCCGGTTTAGAGAGGATTCCCAGAGATGATGATGATTATTATTATTATTATTATTATTGAAATTTACTATTAGAATTATTTATTAAGCATGGAATTTGTAGTAAAACAATATCTTTTTTTAATAATGAATATTATGCTTTCATTTTTTAATTATTTTTGATTGATCTGTCCATTTTCATTTCCATTGTGTTTGTTACCAGTGATGCTCTAGAAATGTCACGCGTCACGACAAAACCAACATAATGGGTTTGGGACCATCATGGAACCAGACCAGCCTGCGCATCCGCGCAGTCTGGTCAGACTTCATGCTGTTCGCTTACCAACTCTATTACAAGTAGAGAAACTGATAGCGAACAGCATGGATCCTGATCAGACTGCGCGGATGCGCAGGCTGATCTGGATCCATGCTGGTCGCAAACGCACTATGTTGGTTTTGTCGTGACGCGGCTCATATTTTCTTTTAAAGACATTTTCGATTTATTTTTAAACACAATAAACAACGCAAGTGTGTGAACTATAATTTATTTACATGCAAATTCAATATGAATCAATAGCAATCATAATATCCACCCGGAAACCATTCGAATACAAGCGAGTTCAAAGAGTCAAACTTAGCGTTGTTGTCGAATCTTCGTCGGCTTGGAGTAGCATTTTTCTCCCAGATAGGGCTCAGATGGTCACGTTTCTTCAGGATACCTCCAACTGTAGATAATCCAAGTCCGTACTTTTCTGCTAGAATCTGAAACATAAATATAAATCATAACTTAACAATAATTTTTGAAGCAGATATAAAGCTTTTTACACTTTAAAGGGATTCTATCAAGAAAGAGTTTTATTTATAAGGACGGGCCTTGTGTAAACAATAATTGCTGAGTCATGTGTTAAATAGACAATAATTTTAATTATATATAAATGTAAAACAAATTAATTTAAATAAACACAACGAGCAAGGTTAAACAATGGGACACATGAAAGCAGTTTGTGTTATTTTAGGAATATATTTAATATCTCTGTACCATTTAGAATCGGGTAAGTTCGTGAAAATTTAATATTGTTCTGAACTAAAAGGATATGTGTAGTGTTGATTCATTGTATCAAAATATGTATATCTGTTTTGACAGCGCGTCTGTTTCTCGTGCCAAATGCCGAGGGTTAAATAATATCAAAAGAATAGCCATAGCGAGGTCATAGTTTTTAGAAATTTCATTGTGATAAATTATTTTACTACGTATATATGTATGAATATAGCCTTTATATGTTTTGACAGATGCGTCGGACTTTTTTCCTATTCCATCGGCATGCATTTGCAAAGAAACATCAGACGGATGTAAACGGATTGGTGGGCGCGAAGACAAGAAGCAGTGTGCACTTTGTTTTAACGAGGGACTTTTCTGCTGTTGTGTAAAATGATGGTCTTCTAACAATTTGAATCATCAAAAGCTTCTATGAGCTGAACATTCTGATAAGTGGTGTTCTTTTTTTTCTCGGCCGTATACGTTTTGGTTGACCATGACATCCGGTAAATTTGCAGGCTATATGCCCGGTATTTGCCGGACAAATTATTTGTGTTGATGTGTTATTTCTTAGGATTAGAAAATATAATGAATGTTGAAACTAATGTTTGCTTTTATTTGGTTATGGAACTGACAAAAAATGTGTAGTCATACTGCTGATAGTGACTTTGCAAAATGGACAGTATAATTAAAGCTGCTCACCTCCAGATGAGTAAAAATATTTCGATTAAATCAAACCTGAGAAAAATGTTAAAAAAGATTTTAGGAAAAGTATAAAGATTCAAAATTCTAGTGATAATTTTCATGTAATATGTTATTAATGATATATTTTTCAGTATTTATAATTATATTTTTTTGTACATTTTGACCTCTTTATGGTAATTTACATGGTTGTAAGTGCCAATGATAATGTGTAAATTGCTTCCTTTTGGTAACTATAGATTTATCACGGTCGAGTATCTTTCTTAAATGTTATATACTTCTTGTTTCATAGTTTATATCACATAAGGTATTTTCCAAAAAACAAAAACAGCTATGGCTTATCAGTAGGTACACTTGCAAGTA